CCTTCCCAGGCACCTGCTGGTGATGGGAGAGCGCCAGGGCACCGTGGTCGGTGCTGGGACCAGAGGGGCTTGTGGGCGCCAACCCAGCCACCAAGCCTGAAATGAGAGTCTATCAAGTATCCTGTGAAAAGAATGTGAGCAGGGCTGTTAGGGCCACCTGGTTTATCCTGCCAGAATCTGATTGTGCCGAGGGGTTCACTTGCTGGTGAGGAAGGTGTTCATCCACAGCAGCCTCCCCACTCTTCTTTCTCGGGCTGTCCGGGTTGTCTTCGCTTTCCCTTTTGAGTATAAAGTAGAAAAATAGCATGGATGTGGTGAGCATGAATTGCTCTGAAAAGCGCACTGAGTTCCTGAGAAATAAAATAATATCGAGTCAGAGATCCCAACCGATCCATTTTTATTTCCCTAACATTTAACCCAGCCTCTAGTGCCTTGTCATCACTCAGGGGCTCTTTTTGCTGATTGTATGAAAACTCTGTGGCAGGTGATGATAACACCAAGCCTATTGACGTTTACCTGAGGGGATGGTGCTCTTGCCTGTGCTGTGAGCACTGTCGAATCAAGCTATATACACTGTTGCCCATGCTATAAGCACGTGCTATAACCTGGGCTATAAGCACTGTTGTTGAGTCAATGATATGAAAATGATTTGCCTCAGCGATCCTGACACAGAATATAGTCATTCATAGTGTGGTTTTACTGTAGCAGGAGACCAGTCTGCGCTTGAGGAATGCTGGTGGTTCCCCACTGGTGTAGTGGAAAATTGACCCATCAATCATTAAAGGTGATGGCCGTGTATCTTTCCCTCATCCTCAGGATCAGCCTTCTGAAGGCCCCATGTGGAGTTTCACGTCCTAAGTAATTATTCTCCTGTACTAAGTAATCATCAAGGACCTGGCTATGTGTGGGGTACTTCTGCAGGAGGGAAGACGTCTACAGCCCTCAACATGCTTGTTTTACAGTAAGGGATAGAGGCACGTACTTGTGATCACAAAGAAATACAGAATGTGGAAGGGCTGTGGGTCTCTAGATAATAGAGTCTCCCCACACAAGGAATTACAGAAGACTCCAGAGGAAGGAGGTGGGGTCTGACCTTGATCGTGAGGGATGGATAGGAATTTGACAGGTAGGGATGGAAGTGAAGAGGCCATTCCAGGTAGGGAGAAGAGCAAGAGGAGAACATGGAAAGGGTGGGTTGGATTTGGGGAGCAGAGAGTTTGCCAGAGCTTGGACTGGAAGGGGAAGGAGGCCCGACTTGGACACATTTCAGTGTCACCCCAGGACTGTGGGTGACTCCGGCATTACTGTCTTTTTAATGCTATGTAGTAAGCACCCCAGCTCTTCCTTGGCTGAGGCAAATGTAGTGGGGACCAAATAAAGTCTTTCACAGAGAAGTTGAAAGTTCTCAGAAGGTTTTCACCAGGTCATTTCCAGTTGTGTTGGGTCCCCTCTTTATTCTCTCTCAGTAGGAAAATGCACCGGTTGGTGATGGAGCTGAGAGGGCAGAGAACATTTTGGCCCACATGTAGATAGCAGCCACAGGATGCTATAGGATGTCACCCCTGGTTTGATAGATGGGCTTAAAAACCAGATCAATTAATCCTACTTCCCTAGTCAAAACACACGGGGTGTGTTTCTGTTATGTGTGTTATACAGTTACATTCGCATGCTCTACATTATTGATTTGGTTAATACTCTTAGATGTGCCATCTTGCTGTTTGTTCTGAGAGGTTTTTTAAGTTTATTTATTTATTTTGAGAGAGAGAGAAAGAGTGACAAGAATGAGACCGTAGGAAGAAGCTGCCTTATTATGGGAGTAGTACCAATCAGAAGTCTTGGTTTCTTGTTAAAAAAATTTTTTTTGTTTTAATTAAATGGGGCACCTGGGCGGCTCAGTCAGTTGAGCATCCGACTTGGGCTCAGGTCATGATGTTGTGTTTTTGAGTTCGAGCCCCGTGTCGGGCTCTGTGCTGACGGCTCAGAGCCTGGAGCCTGCTTCAGATACTGTCTCCCTCTCTCTCTACCCCTACCCCACTCGTGCTCTTTCTCTCTCTCTCAAAAATGAATAAATGTTTAAAAAAAATTTTTTAAAGAAGTATTGGTTTCTATCTTTTTAAAATTTTTCTTAAGTTTATTTATTTGGGAGAGACAGAGACATTGGGAGTGGGAGAGGGGCAGAGAAAGATGGAGAAAGAATCCCAAATAGCTCCGTGCTATCAGCACAGAGCCCATCACAGTGGTCAAACTCAAGAATCATGAGATCATGATCTGAGCAGAAATCAGGAGTTAGATGCTTAACCAACTAAGCCACCCAGGCACCCCTGCTCTGAGAGTTTTGATCTGATTGTGGAAACTCAGCCTGAGCTAATGTTTTATGAGGCTTGATCATTACTTAAAGCTAGACATACGATGAAGGCCATGGCCAGTTTTTTTAAGACAATTTTACTGCCCTCGGGACAGTTTAGATTGAGAAACACAAACCCCTATTTGAGTACAAGAGCCACTTCTTTTCATTTGCCATTCCTAGAGTCAATAATGAATTTTAGCAAGTTTTCTAATTACCTTAGGCCATTCTCCTCCAAAGACCATATTAATCACTCATTTTATTGACTTACAAATGGACAAAGTGATTATTACATCCCAGGCACTGATGTAAGAACTATACAAGTTGTTATATACAAGTTAAAATACTATATTACTATTACTATTGCTTGTATATATACTATACAAGTTAATATACTATATTAAGCCATTTAGTCCTCTTAACAACCATATGAAGTAGATTAATAGCATTATTCCTATTGTACAGATGGGGAAATTGAGGGACCGAGAAGTGAAGTAACTTGCCCAAGCTCACACTTGAAGCTCAGACATTCATTGCCATCTGAGTATACATGCCATTTAAAGCTCATGTTTGGTGGTTGTGTTGTCCTCTGCATGAAAAAGGATAAAAAGAGCTTGCCTGGGAGATTCTGCCGGGCTTGCTCTATGACAGAGTTGTGTTCTGGAACATTTTAATAGAGGCTTATTTTCTACAGTGTATGTCAGCAGTTGTCTTTCAAAAGACTCCATATTTTTATTATTTTTAAAGATTTTATTTTTAAATAATCTCCACACCCAACGTGGGGCTTAAATCCACAACCGTGAGATCAAGAGTCGTACACTCTACTGACTGAGCTAGGTGCTCAGAAAACTTAGTATTTTAATTGACTGTAAATGCTTGAAAATGAAGTTTCCATGTGTGTCCAACAAACACATTAGCCAAACCAAAGTCCAGCCCAGTGTAATTAATATCTTTTTTATGTTGGATGATGTGGCTGTTGGGAGTGGCATCTCCCCAGTGCATGACTGGGACTATGCAGTTAATAATAAACATCCAGTGGCATTCTCTGTGTGCCCAGCACCGTGCTGAGCACATCACATGATTATTTTGTTTCATCCCCCAACAACGCCATGAGGCAGGTCCTGGGAATATCCCCTCCTACGGATAGTGGAAACTGAGGCCTAGAGAGGCTTAGTAATGGAGTGCAGGTCACACATCTAGGAAGGAGCAGAGCAGAGCTTTGAACCCAGACGTGTTTTCTGATCCTTGGGCCTTGACCACTATGCATGCTGCCTGCCCCTGTGCTGTGTGGCTCTGCTGGCCCCTCCCCTCCCCCTCAGCCCTATTGTCTGCTGCTGACTCTTGCCAGGGATTAACAGCTGATCTTGATAAATTTCTTACAGCAGTTCTTCCTGTTTTAGCAAGTTTCCATTATCCTCCCTTGCTCTATACCAGCTATTTGGAAAGTCAGGTTTCACCCATTGTTCTTCCATTATCAACCTCACAGCCCGCCAGAGTTCAGCATTGGTTAATTGACAGAATACCGTTCCATCCATTCCATCCCGTTAGAGGACAGCAAGAGGGCCACACGAGTGTGGGTGGGGCCGATGAGACCCTGACGCAACAAATCCTGACATTGAATTTGGAAACTGTGGAAGGGAGTTTATGCTGTCCTGGGAGTTGTCCATTAAGCACCTTGATAAGTCTATGTACCTATTTGTAGTAACTTCTACTCTTACTCTGAAACCGTATTTTTTTCTGCATCAATCATAGAGTCTCTTATGTGGTAAATCCTCAATGAACATTTGACAAATGCATGGACAAATGAGGGACTGACTATTGTTTTTTTATATATATATTTATTTTGAGAGAGAGAGAGACAGGTCGTGAGTGGGGGAGGGGCAGACAGAGAGAGAAAGAATCTGAAACAGGCTCCAGGCTTTGAGTTGTCAGCACAGAACTGGGCGCAGGGCTCGAACTCATGGACCTCGAGATCACCACGGGAGCTGAAGTCGGATGCTTAACTGACTGAGCCACCTAGGCACTCCTGAGTCGTTTGTTACTTAGCTCCTTTGATGTAAGGGCATCCTACAAGGCTTTAGGGATGCCCCTGCCCCATGTGCTACTTGAGATTGTATTTTCTTCTATCTGCTTCCCCTGTCCCTGTCACCCTCTCCTCTCATCTACTTTCCTCCTCTCCCTCTCCCAGTCCAGGAAGTGACTGGGAAGGTGGTAGCAAGAACTGTTGTTTTAGGTGGTGCTCTAGATGGTGTTAGCTTCCATAGCTTCAGGATGGAACTATTCTTTATGGAAATTAGGAGTTATATCAGCTTTTGAGGAACTCAAGTCACCATGTATGATATTAATGCAGAAACATGCATTCTGAGTCCTGATCAGACATTAGGGCAGCCCACTGGAAACTGCGTGTGTTTGAGAAGCTCATATCATCCAAGCATGTGTAGTGGAATCCATTCCACGCGTGTTCTCATGACTGAGAATCATTTCTTGACCTCGTTGTTGTATTGAAATATTGAATCGCAAATACAATCTGTAGAGAAGTTGCATTCCCGGTGCCAACTATAGATTCCCAGAAATTTTACTTTCCATTTGGAGATAATAACACCAACATCAGGGCAGGCTGTCCATTAAGTGGTTTTTCTCTCTGTGTCTTTGACAGATGTGCCATCCCCACACCAGCGGGGCTCTGCCAAGATGAAACCAATAGAAGAAGGGGTGGAAGATGACGATGAGGTCTTTGAGCCCGCGTCTCCAAATACATTCAAAATCCATCAGTTGCCTTGATCAGACAGCGGGGCCAAGTTACCAAGATGGAAACTGTCTTGAAGAGATCCTGAAAAATACCAGCACTTCTTCATGACTCATTGATCACTCTGCTTGAGCACTGGTGGTCTGTGGGTAGGAAAGTAAGGAAAGGTCAAAACCTGCAAAGGTTATTTTCGCTCTCCTTTTTATTGATCAGCTTTTTAAGCAGTTGTTTTACTGAGCCTTCTGACTAAACCTAGTTCTATTTTGAGATATATATTTTCACAGTATTTTCTAGATATATTATTGTTCTGACTTAGCACTCTGTCAATGCAAATGCCTTTTCACTTAACTTTCTCCAAGTTGTGGTTCATTTTCCTCACGTTTTTTTCTCCACTGTGGCAATGGGGTTGTCTATTTGATAGTTTTAACGAAAGTATAAGTTTGAAACCGAGGTTGAGATGGCATTAGAAAGCAGGGATTCTCAGGCCTTGTTCAATTGATTTTTTAGCTGGAAATTTTTAAAGAAAGATGTGATTTGACTGGCGTTTTTTATGTGTTTCGTTTTTGTTTTTCTCCCTCCCAAGTCAGACACATCACTCCACTAGATCCCCTTACTTATTTGAGCATTGTGTAGATAGCTTCATAATGAACAAAACTCTTCAGACTTTGCACATTACACTTATATCATGCTATTTATAATCGGGTCTGAAACCCAAAGCTGGAAAGATAGCAGATGGAAGGATTCTGAGCTCAGTTTGACCTATGGCCAAACTCGACTTACCTGTGATTTGGGGCCATCTTGTCCCACACACCCTGGTGTGGGGAATGCTTTTCTCAGGGTAGGGAGTCAAGTGGCCAAGCAAATGTTACAGAGTGAGGTGATTGAAGGAGCAATTTTTATTCTTTGGTCGGTGTTCTGAGGTTTCAGACTGTTCCTCCAGAGCAATCGATGTCTGTTTAAAATGTTTGCCAGATACCCAGTGCCAGGGTTCCAAATGTGAACACAGCTTTGGGGGCAGACAGTTCCCCATCAGCCAGGCAACGGGCACCCAACCTAGATGTTGCAGTGAGGGCTTTGATTCCAGATCTCTCTTTTCTACTAGAATCATGTTTCAGGAAACAGTGGCGTTTATGGTGGGAGATGAGAAGTTTGCTGAAATCATCGGTCAAACAGGGCAGTGTGACTGTGGCACTCAGTTGGGTGAAGCCCATTGATTGGCTATGCTATGTCATACATCATGTTGATTTTATTTATCCACCAGAACCAACTTGAGTGAGTCCCCTGTTATATTAAATAGCTTAGAAAAATTGCAAATGAAATTATTTTCAAGTGAGCTGAGCCAAAAACAACATCTCTTGCCAAGAGGTGATTTCTGTTAGAGAAGGTAGATAAGCTAGTCTGGGGTCACCTCATTTTCCTAAATCCATTTTTTGAGGCTAATTGTTTTAGTAATTTCACTGGAGTTAAATTTACATGCTCGGCCACTCACTAAGAAGATTTCCACAGACTGGGAATTTGGCTCCTAACGTCTTTATCAAATGTTGATTTATTAACATCACAGTAGAAAGGCTGATTTCACTTTCCTATTAGAGTGGCCTCGTCAGTTTTCTACATTATGAATTTATTTTGGGGAACAGAAGCACAGATGAACGACTTAGCCTTGGCTTTAAGATTGTAAAGATTCATTCGGGTGAAGTCTTTTTGCGGTGCCCGAGATCACATATGTGGATAACTATAATGTAATGGCGTTAGAACTGCTTTCCTCTAACTGTTAGAGTAAGGTCATGTAGACCATTTAGTTTATACATGCCTAAGACTCATTTACAAAATCACTCTATAGAGTAATTAGAAATTACATCCTTCCCTGAATAGAAAGTAATTTTAGATCCTGCTGAGGCCGTGTTTTTAATGTTCTTGTGGATTCACAGAACCTTGGGGTTTCCCTAGCCTGACCCATCTTCAGGTATATCTCACTTGGTCAAGCTCAGACATTGGAAAGGGTCATCTCTCATAATCAACCTGCATGTGTTTAGAGGTTTTTTCCTGTGAAGCTGGGAACAAACATTTTTAAAGGCACACTGAAAAAATTAGATGATGTGAATTCATTTGCTGTTTTTATTAAAATCCATGTGGGCGCGTGCACATACATCCATGTTATTGAAAACAAAGATTGTAATCTCAAGCTTAGGAATCTGAAAAGGGCCACTTAGCCTGAATGGGAAACATGAAACTGTTTTTAAATACACACCTCTCAAGACAGTGAGACTTGGGGAAAAGGAGATGCAAGCCACTGAGGAGCCCTCCCACATAGACTTGATAGCAAAGAAGCAAGATAAGAAAACAGAACAGTTTTAAGTGTAAGATCTCCTATGGATGACTTTGAATTCATTTGTACAAGTGAACAAGCGTATCTTTGTATAAGGCATAAATACATAGACAAAAAAACATGTTTGCTGCCAAAACCACCACTAAGATGCTTCCTGTGTTTTTTGGTGTCCACTTAGCTGTGTGACCAAGGTTCAGAAAATGATCTGTAAAAATTGTTCTATATATAACCCCAAATCTCCTATGTTTAATTGTAGCATCGAGTCCACTGTATGAATCAGGAGTGTAACATTTATACCAGAATATATGTGTCATTTGTAATGTTTTGAAAGCCCTCATATTTCTATTTATAAAATAATAGCAGAGATACTAGATAGAAACTCAATGATGTTTATGTATCTTAAATTAGTAATAATGGGTGCTATATAATGGTCAGTTACCAACTGTTGCTTTCTGAGATCTTTTCCACTTCTCCCTGTATCTAGTTCAATTGTCCTTTTGTCATTGGACACCTTTGTGCTTTGCTGCTAATATCGCACGCACTGGCAGATGCCAACTTCTTCATGTTTGGCTCTCCTTCCACACGTCTGAAGCTTTTCTGATTTTATAACTCGGAACTGCTAATTCCTGCCTTCTGGGTCCTGTCATGGCCCCAAAGACGGGGCTTCTTGGATGCCAGAAAAAGTCTTCGGGGAGAGTTGTAACCTACACATTCTGCCTTGTCCCTGGTGCACCCAGGCAATGACTTCAGCCTCCAGGGAAGACTGTGATGCCGGTGCATGTGTGGTAGTGCCCAGCAAGCACTCGGCACGCAGGTCAGTCCCTGCATGCCCGCGTCCTGCCCGGTGCCCTCCTCCCTGCAGACCCCACAGTGCAGCCTCAAGGGGTCGCAGTAATTTATTTCTTTTATCCATTTCTTTGGACATTTCTAAAGCCTCTCTGCAGAAACCTCTGACCTTGCCATGCCTCGGTTTCCCCTCCCTTCCTTTTTTCCAACCCTGGTTTCCCAATTTCTGTTTCTCATGATTCCCAACCAGAGTGATTAGAAATTCTCACCTGTTCGATTCAAATTCCCGAGGACCTGAAAGGATAGAATACTGTGTAGAGAACTCAAGGTTGCAGTGTGGTCACAGCTTCAGTTTTGCTCCAGTTATGATACGTTTTCTCACTGACAGCCTTTCTTCGATTCTCATAGAAGCCCCAAATACCTTGTGTGTGACGATATATTGTGTCCTTTTAAAAACCTGCTTTTAAGTACTATTTACAGGTTATTCTGTTATACTTGCAACCTAGTTTTAAAGTACACGAGGATTTTATTAATACTTTATACAGACACGTTTATAGGAAACTCGCTCTTTCTGTTTTAGGTGCCATTTACATTGATGCCATTTACTTTATAATCAATTTACATTTTGTCCGAATAGAGCCTTCTGGTTTGAAATATCTTCATATACTGTCATTTGATCAAATAAATTTCTTACTTAGAAAATATGCATGTTTTTTATTTCATTCCTCTTACATATAGCTGGTTTGCTCTGACTCCATGTCTACGGGCGAGGATTGGTTCAGTTACCTTCAGGTCGTGGGATTTGCTCTGGTTTAGGAATCTGAGCAGATGTACAAAGGGGGTGGTCTTGGGTCAGTTCCACTTAATTTCAAAGCTTTGCCATCTTGGCTCCCTTTGGCCACAAAAAGAGGCGGCATGACATTGTTGACTAGATGCAACAATTGGGAAGCCTTCAGAGTTTCGCTATAGGGATATATAGATTTCAACATTTTCCTCCCCTTTATTTGAACATTCTCTTCTAGTTTCATAAGGTTTAACAACAGGAGTCAGATGAAGAAGGCAGAAAATCACCCCTGGATCTATTGTGTAGTGGGCAAGAGAGACCAGTCTTCTTATTCTGTTTTTTTACTGTTATTACTTTAATATTTATTTATTTTTTTTTTTATTTTTTTTTTCAACGTTTATTTATTTTTGGGACAGAGAGAGACAGAGCATGAACGGGGGAGGGGCAGAGAGAGAGGGAGACACAGAATCGGAAACAGGCTCCAGGCTCCGAGCCATCAGCCCAGAGCCCGACGCGGGGCTCGAACTCACGGACCGCGAGATCGTGACCTGGCTGAAGTCGGACGCTTAACTGACTGCGCCACCCAGGCGCCCCAATATTTAGTTATTTTTGAGGGAGAGAGAGAGAGAGAGAGAGAGCATGATTGGGGGAGGGACAGAGAGAGAGGGAGACACATATTCTGAAGCAGGCTCCAGGCTCCCAGCTGTCAGCACAGAACCCAACAAAGGGCTCGAACTCACAAACTGTGACATCATGATCTGAGGAGAAGTTGGATGCTTAACTGACTGAACCACCCACGTGCCCCACCAGTTCTCCTATTCTTGAAGGAACCTATATTTTCTTCCCTCGTCTGTCCTAGGAATTGGAATGGGAATTTGAGAGCCCATCTCTTGGCCCTTCATAGTAGGTCCTTGGCACCCAAACACTTGTCCTGATCAGCCCCAAGACCAGGTCCAAATGGAAGGGGCATCTTATACTGCCATAAAAGGAATGAATTCTGCTGCTCAATAAGCCATGTCACCTAAACCTAAAGTCAGGTGCCGAGCCCTGAACTTCTGCTGAGCTAAGTTTGGGGCAACTTTCCCTTTCCTAAGTCTGTGATATGGTACCTAAGAGTTTCCATCTGTGTCCACTTAGGG